TGCACCTGGCACGGGCACCGTAGCCAGCCTGTGCCCCTTTAAGGGGGCTGGGGCCGGGAGGGGGGCAGATGAGTTTCCCTGGTGTTGGCCAGAGTGGCCACCAGGGAAACCTGGGGAGGGCTATCCTCCCACTAGTTCGAATTAAGGGTCTACACAGCCCTTAATTCGAACTAGCTAGTTCGAACTAGGCTTAATCCTCGTGGAATGAGGATTACCTAGTTTGAACTAAGCGCTCCGTTAGTTCAAATTAAATTCGAACTAACGGAGCGCTAGTGTAGCGCCTATGAAAGTTAGTTCAAACTAACATCCGTTAGTTCAAACTAACTTTGTAGTGTAGACATACCCTAACAGATGACTATAATAACATATGAACAGCCAAACTCAATCAGATGAAAGGTCCATATAGCCCAGTATCTTCTCTTTGGACAACAGCCAATGTCAGGTGCCCCACAGGGAATGAACAGAACAGATAATCATCAGGTGATTGATCCCTGCCCATACAGATACTAAAAACATCATCCCTACCCATCTCGGCTAATAGTCATTGAGGAACCTATCCTCCATCTGTTCTCTTTTGAATCCTGCTCTAGTCTTGGCCTTCACATAATCCTAGCCTTGTCAGAAGTCACAGGTGTAGTGACAATTCCTGATAGGTATCTTGCTCTGTACAATGATGATGTACATTTGGCTGTGTGTGTGCCCTCTCTATATAATGTATTAACTCTACACAGATAGCTGATATGGTAGACTCCAAAAGATCCCCAAAAACCACAAAATCAGATAAGATCAAAGCATCCAACCCAAGTTTATTGTCAGATGAAATACAGTAATAATTGTCAGCAGACTCTACTGAACCACTACGCATATGTATCCCCTAACAATAGACCAGCTCAGTTAACTACAAAATCCTTCATTGCCCCCCAGAAAAAAACCTCCATTGGGGAACATTTTTACACATCGGTACAAACAAGTTACACTCATGATGTATCAGGTTATCACCCTCTGATGTTACCTAGATACCACCCATTGCCTTTTACATGGGGGTTCAATCACTATCATGCTGTCAGTTTAGACCCCGTCCTGAACCTAGGTTGGTATGTCTGTTATTTATGGGGAGTGTGTTGGTACCAAGCTTTTTTTTACAAGGTGCTCTGTTATGAACCCTCTGGAATGTACTTCCAACCTGTGCTTAACACCATTTAGTGTGTTATACCATTAACCCTGTTCATGCCAGATTCTTTTAGCAGAGCCCGCTCTTGCTCCCAGCTTCACTTTGCTTTATATTAGCAAAGTCTTGACCATTGTTGGCGAAGGCCTTAGACCTTATAACAGATACATGATACATGTTTCAAGCCCTCATCTTAGTACACCAACATCTGATCAATATTCAGTAGTGTCCCTTAACAGGAGAAGGAAAATGTAACTTATTCTCTCAGGGTGTGTCTAGACTACGGGGTTTTTTCGACAAAAGTTGGTTTTTGTCAACAAAACTGTACCTGTGTCTACACTTCCATCGCGTTCTGTTGACAGTAAGTCGACAGAACGTGACAGTTTTGTCGACAGCGATAAACCTCATTTTATGAGGAATAACACCTTTTTTCGAAAGTATTCTTTTGAAAAAAGGCGCTATTGCATGGAAACTGTGCTTTTTCAAAAGAGAGAGTCTAGACTCTTTCGAAAAAGCGGCTTGCTTTTTCGACAATAGTGATTGTAGTCTAGACGCTCTTTTTCGACAGAGGCTTTGTCGACAGTATCTGTCGACAAAGCCTCTGTCGAAAAAAGCATGCAGTCTAGACGTAGCCTCAGATATGAAAAAAAGAGAGTTTGTCAAGTTTCTTCCATTTGTAAATATCTAACTCAGAAAGTTCACTGGCATTTGTTTATTTTATTTGACACATTTTTCAACATCTTCATCCAATTTTTTCTGCCCTGTACCACACCTCTTAAAAAAACTGAATTCAGAACAATAATCACCTTTAGATGTAGACAAAAAAAGTTTCTCACGGTTGTCCTGATTAACACCAATCTGTTAAGGAATAATTTGCTTTGCCAAATTTTTCCTACTGAAGTTGGAATAAATGGTTTCTTTATGAATTAAACATTGATCGTGGGCCAAATGTTTCTCTCTGGTTACACTAGTGCAGTCCTACAGAAATCAATGGGATTGTAAAAGAGTAACAGTGGAAAATTAAGACTTTGACTTGGGAAAAGGTGTATTCTTTTTTTCTTATTTTTCCCCATTGTCATAATTACTGATCATTCATGTAAGTGAATCATTCAATACAGCATAGCATAAGCGACACTATTCAACATCTAAGCTTTAAGAAGCAAACCTTCCAGTACCGACAACAATTCAGAGATATTTTACAAAGCACACCAAAAGTAGATGTTCACACACAGCCACTCTAACCATAAATGAGGTTAATTTATGTTAGCAAACTGTCAAAGAACCTGTCATATCCTATTGTCTTTCCTAGTACAAAAATGTTAAACAGATTACAAGAGTTAAATTAAAAAACCCCACATACTTTGAAGAAAATCACTAGGTTTAATAGCCTCTTTTATTTCAAATTTCATTTCCATCTGATTTTCAAATGACTTTTGTTTTCTGAATTTCGTATATTGAAAAATAGCACTCTGCTGTATTTTGCTCCAAGCCACTGCACAATAACCATGATATAAATTCAAGGGCAAATACTTTGTTCCTTTATAAACTTAAATTAGTAAATTGATCTTCTTCACCCAGCATGTTTTTAATGAACTCAAAGATAAAATTTGATAAGTTCACTAAAACAATTAAATTAGAACAGCACAATGAATAAGAGGTGTTAATATATTTCAACCTCTAAAATACATGTATTATACTGGAAGATGCAAGGAAGATTCTATTGAATTGTGAGCACAATGTAGCTAGTATTATGACTGATAATATATTTGCAAATGTAAAGGCTTTATTTACATGCCACCCGTGCAGAACCTAGTGTTCCAAAAGGTCATGAGGAAATACTGCCACATGGACATGTTGTTCTGAAAATTATTTCAAAGAAACTGGAATCAAGAACAGTTACCTAAAATGATAGAAGTGTGATAGTTGGAAAATAGATTTAAAAAAAATCAATATCACAGAGGCATTACTATGAATCATTATATGTCTTACATACGTCTGAGACAACAAAACTAAGTGTATTCCTGTGTAGCACAGTGGGCCAAATTCTGATCTCAATTACAGCTTCAACTTTGAAAGAGTAATGTAATCACATTGATTTTAAATGGGTTGATGTCAATATGACTGCATTGATTTCAGAGGAGTTGAGCTAGCATGAAAGCATGGAGAAGGGAAAAATTGGCATACTGTATTAGGATTTACCAATATTAACAAAACCTCTAACAGGTATGTCATGTTTGGTAATGATGTTCATTTCTAGTACTGTACATCAGTTTTACAGTGAGGGTACAAGACACACCCCAAATATAATTTACATGGTCACATGGGGGCTGTTTTCTATGGCCGTAATCCTGAAAACTGTTGAATAACCTCCGACAGTTCGGGGAACATACAGCTTCCAGGAGGTATTGAGCACCTTGAAGGATTGGCCTAGATGTTTAGGATTAGACCCACAGATACAAAAAGCACATATATATAGGTAACTTGAAACAGGATTGAAGCATGTCTGGAGAAAAATGAAAGCTCTGATTCACTCACTGTTTCTCTCAATGTGTATATAAGCAGTTTGTCCCAAAGTTGTAATAGCATAAAGGTGTGAATTTAAACAGACATAGTTATAACAGTATAACTCCTTATCTGGACACTCTTATTCCCATACAAAAGTGTCCAAATGGGGTATTTATACCAGTATAATTATAATAGTCTAACTATACCTATATCATTCAATAGGTACAGTTGAAAAAGTTTCCCATATAGACAAACTGTTAGAGTATATTTTATACTGTGGTATTTTTAATTGGTTCTGGGATCATTCAGAAGTCAACAAACACAATCCACCACTCCTTCCATGTATTTTCTTTTTAAAATGCAGAATCTATAGTGAAATTAAGGTGAAATTTGATTCCCAATCTATTTACAGGGTGCTACATATGCAAACATGCACACAATCCTCACACACTGTGTCACCTCCTTTGACTTTTGCATCCTGATTCATCTCATCTGACAGCAAGCAAGGATTAGTAGTTGCATTCTCAGTCTTCCCTGCACACACGCAGAGAAACACACACACACACACAAAGATTATAACCTTCACTGCAGATATTTAATCTAGAAAAGATTTATCAGTGAAATCCCATTTTCTTCCTTTATATTAAACACAAAAAAAGCCAAGGAAGAATTTGAATTCCTAGTTGTTATTTTTCTTCCTTATTGTCCTGAAAACTCTTAATTAGAAGAGATACTTCTTACCAAATGATTAGCTCTTATGTCTGCTTTAACACTTGAAAGGTCACAAGAATAGGAAAAGGAAAGAGCTTTAATTAAAGAATAAATTATTGAATACTCAATTTTAATTGATGTAGCCCTCTGCTATTATTTTGCATGTTTATAGATATTTTATGTGAATCTGTAATCAAGATGACACAAAGAAAGACTAACTACTGAGGCTAAAAGAAGGAAGGCTGTTGCATGATCACATTCAGCTGTTTAAGTTCCAGAATTGTGTGAAGTGTGGTTTCCATGACAACAAGTCACTAATTGCTAACATAAAATAAAGTAAAAATCAACCTTGACTGAATTTGGCAGTTATATGGAAGGTTTAGAATCAATAAAATAAAATAAAATAAAATTATAATAATAAAAATAATAATAATAATATAGCATTTTTTCTGTATGATAAAAAACCACACCCAAACCCACCTTCTGGATGAAGGCACCCAGACTTCCATGGTTAATTCAAATCTGGCAAAGGTGGCTGCATAAAGTAGTCATTGTGCGTCACGTCATACATGATAGTCAACACCTACCTTTAACAAGAGATAAGGAGAGATGATTGTGATGAAGAGCTGAAGGATTTTTGTATCCTTGGGCTAGAGATCAGCAAAAGAAAATGCTGTGGAGAATACATGAAGTAAATAAAAACACAAATAACTGGATTTTAAATATAAATTCTAACAGAGTTAGAAGAAACACAAATTAAGGGGGAGAAAAGGGAAGCTAAATCTATACACGCTTTCTTTGCTAACTTGTTAGTGAGGGGTTTCAGACCCCTCTGGTTTGCAGATTAAAAGAGTCTTTTGAGACTGTGGAAAACTGTTAGGAAGGCACAATGGCACCATTCAAAATTCACCAATTTATGAACTGCTACGTATCATTTGTAAAAATTGCTTCAGCCTGAATTACCTTTCACCAGCTCTGTAAGTCGACTCACTGGGTCACTAGGAGTGAAGGAGAACATTTTGATAAATTCAGTTTCCATGACAATGAATTAACCATGGAAAAGGGGGAGGTGTTGGAAGATCTGTGTTCTGTAGAATACTCTTCAAATGTTTGCCTGTTTTCATTTTTAGCCATTTAGTTCTCATGGCTCTGTTCCAAGTCTCTTTAATTTGCCAGTAGCTGTTTTTCCTCCGCAGATTAGAGGAGTAATTCATCAGTGAATGTTTCACTCAGTGGTCCTATCTAATGGAAGAGAACATAAAAATGATTTTTCCAATTATGCTTTTTTGTTTGTTTAGAAATAATGTAGCAGCCTTTTTGTTGTTTCACAACTACAACCTGGCTATAGTGTTCTTAATCTTTCTTATTTATTGCCCATTACTATACTTATGAGTACACCTGCACCTTGTGAGATGTTAGGAGTTGGTTTTAAATACCAATGAGTTCCCAAAACAAAATGATGATTTTATGTTTTGTTTAAGAAGAACAAGCCCCCCCAAAAATAATGTCATACTCTACAAAGCCAACACATTCTACATCAATGAGAGCAGCTCAGAGAAAGTTACAGAAACTAGTAGTATTTTTTAAGATGGAACTGCTTAAAATTATGTTTCATCTGTATTGTTTATAAAAGTGGGAAATAACCAAAAAGTAGGGTCAGAACCAAAACTCACTGAAGTCACTAGGAGTATGTCTAGACTACATGCCTTTTTCTAAAGAGGCTTTTCGAAAGAAGAGCATCTAGATTGCATTATATGGATCGAAAAAGCCATCAGCTTTTTTTAAAAAGAGCATCCAAACTGCTGGGCGCTCTTTTGGGAAAAAAAAAAGGCACCCAGAACCATTTCTGCCAGGGTATGGAGGCAGCATTTTCTTCCTGGTGCTGCTGCATGCCCTTTGCAAAGTCGCGTGCTTAAAGGGACTCCCCTGACCAGTCATTGCTCTGCTCCTGCAGCTGGCTTGCCTACCTCCTAGAGGGACAGCAAAGCTTCTGCAGTGCTTGCTTTGAGTGCCCTGCTTTCTGAGGCACCACAGCAATTACTTTCCTTTCTGCTGCTTCTGGCTTGCCTACCTCTGAGAGGGACAGTAAAGCTGCTGCAGTGCTAGCTTTGGTTGCCCTGCTTTCTGGGACACCACAGCAGTTTGCTTTTTGGTTGGTTTTTCTGCTTTTCATCCTTTTTTTTTATATGGAGCCTGAGCTGCCCCTGGGCAGGCGATGGCCCCACACTGTGATGCTTGAAGTTCTGCTGCATCTTCATGAGACCATCATGATGTTCATGCCAGATCTGGATTCAGAATCCAGCTTTGAGCCCCTCGCTTGAGCTGCAGCCCCACTGCTCTTGCCACCGAACTTATTCCTGGAGAGGCGAGTTTGGAGGCTAGACACCAGTTCAGACTGGTGGGACCATCTTGTTAGGGAGCAGTGGGATGACGAGGCCTGGCTCCAAAACTTCTGTATGTGGAAGTCCACGTTCCAGAAGCTGTGTGCCTGGCTTGCCCCTGCCCTACAACGCCAGGACACCCACTTGTGGTCTACCATCCCCCTGGAGATGCTGGTCGCTATTGCCTCTGGAAGCTGGCCACCCCCTACAGCTACCGCTTGATGGGACATCAGTTTGGTGCGGGGAGGTCTACTATTGGAGCTGTCTTGATGGAGGTAAGTCACTCTCTGGTGACAGTACATGGGGGAGGAGGGACAAGGGGGATGGTCAGAACTGGGCAGAGAGAATGGGGGATGGGATGGGAGTGGTAGAAGCCCTCCTGGCCTCACCCTGCCATGGTGCGGGAGCGGGGGTTGTCTGAAGAGGGGCTCTTGGGGTCTGGAAGAGTAGGGGTGGGGGAATCACCTCTCATCAGCTCAGGCAACTCCTCTAATGTATGTTTCTATTTGTCCCTTTCTGCAGATGGTGACGGCCATCAATTCGGAGCTGCTTCACAGAACTGTCCGCCTCAGAGACCTGGAAACCATCGTGGCTGGATTTGCAGGGCTAAGATTTCCGAACTGCGGTGGAGCACTTGATGGAACTCACATCCCGATCCATGCATTGCCCCATCGAGCAGCCCAGTACATTAACAGAAAGGGCTATTTTTCCATGGTGATGCAGGCCCTGGTTGACCACTGGGGACAATTCACTGAGGGTATGTCTACACTACCCCACTAGTTTGAACTAGGGTGGTAATGTAGGCATACCGCAATTGCAAATGAAGCCCGGGATTTGAATTTCCCAGGCTTCATTTGCAAAAGCGGGGAGCCGCCATTTTTAAAACCCCGCTGGTTCGAACCCCGTGCAGCGCGGCTACACGGGGTTCGAACCAGCGGGGTTTTAAAAATGGCGGCTCCCCGCTTTTGCAAATGAAGCCTGGGAAATTCAAATCCCGGGCTTCATTTGCAAGTGCGGTATGCCTACATTACCCTCCTAGTTCGAACTAGGAGGGTAATGTAGGCATACCGCACTTGCAAATGAAGCCCGGGATTTGAATTTCCCAGGCTTCATTTGCAAAAGCGGGGAGCCGCCATTTTTAAAACCCCGCTGGTTCGAACCCCGTGCAGCGCGGCTACACGGGGTTCGAACCAGCGGGGTTTTAAAAATGGCGGCTCCCCGCTTTTGCAAATGAAGCCTGGGAAATTCAAATCCCGGGCTTCATTTGCAAGTGCGGTATGCCTACATTACCCTCCTAGTTCGAACTAGGAGGGTAGTGTAGACATACCCTGACATTTGTGTTGGGTGGTTGAGCCGGACACATGATGCCCACATCTTCTGGAAATCTTACCTGCACCACAGGCTGGGACATTCTTTCTGGAGCGCAACTTTGCAGTCAGGGATGTGCAGATGCCTACATGCATCATGGCTGACATGGCGTACCCCCTTATGCCCTGGCTCATGAAGCCATTCACTGGAAACCTGGATGCAAGCAGGGAACTGTTTAACTCCCACCTGAACCAGGCTCACCTGCAGGTAGAATGCACCTTTGTATCTTAAGGGCAGGGGGGTGTCTTAAGGGCAGGTTTAGATGCCTGCTCACTCGCCTGGACATGGGGGAACGCAACATCCCTGAGGTGGATGCTGCCTGTTGTGTGTTGCACAACCTGGTGGAGAGAAAAAGGGGAGGCCTTCCTCCCAGGGTGGGGGACACAAGCTGATGTGGAGCGGAGCTGATTGAGCAGCCCCGGACAGCTGCCATCCACCAAGCCCACCAGTCAAGATTGTGAATTCGGGAGGTCCTGAGGAAGATATTCTCCCAAGGAGCCCGATGACTTTCCCCAGGGCCTTCCAAATGTGGATTTGCTCCATGCCCCCAGTGCCTTCCCCTCCAAACCCATCTCTGCCCCAATTTGTACACATACTCAGAGAAGAGAGATAGATGTGGTTTACAAAATGTTTTCAGTTTATTGCACTGTTGTATGTAACAAACATTATAACTCTTTTGTAATGAAAAATAAACTTTTCATTAACAAATTAAAGTGCTTCCCTCACTCACTCTCATGGTGGGAAGGGGAATGTAAACCTGGAAGCGGGGAGGGAGGCTCAGGGCTGAGGGTGCCACCTGGATGAATAGGTCCTACCACCTAGGATACAGTGGCCTGCTCGGAGACGGCCATGTATGCGGCCTGGGTCAATAGGGGGCTGGGCAGGAGGTGCGGCTGCACCGGGGTCTGGGATGGCAGGAGTGAGGTGGGAGGAAGAGTGGGGAGGAAGGCTGAGCAGGAGAAGCAGGAACAGGCACAGGACCGGGGAAGGCCATGGCCTCCCAGATAACAGTGCAAATTGCAGTGCACTGCTGGACGAACTCGTCCAGCAAGTGACTGCGCCACTCTGCCTCTGCCTGTATCCTCTGTGTGATTCTTTCCTGCATCCCTTGCAGGACCGGGACGTGCTGGCGTATCAGGTCCAGGTATGTTCAACAGTGCCGAGACAGGACCTGGGAAGGGCATGGCCTCCCAGATAGCAGTGCAAATTGCAGTGTACTGCTGGACGAACTCGTCCAGCAAGCGGCTGCGCCACTCTGCCTCTGCATGCATCCTCTGTGTGATTCTTTCCTGCATCTCTTGCAGGACCGGGACATGCTGGCGTATCAGGTCCAGGTATACAGGTTCCATGCAGCCATCTCGGTGGTGGGATAGGTGTGGCGCACCCCTCCTGGACAGCTGGTCTGGCTGTGGAGGACAAGAAGGAAAAGTCATCAGTCTTGCATGCTCAGACTTTCCCTGAGAGGGCATGCTCTCCTTCTCAGCAGTCAGTGCCTGTCTCAGGGTCAGGGGATGCTCATGTGCTCTCAGCAAGGTGTGATGTGGCCTGGCCAGCAGCCATGGCCTCCCTGGAGCCCAGAAGGTGTGCAGGCCACCATGCTCCCCCCCCCCGCACACCCCCAATGGCCAAGCAGCACAAACAAGTGTCAGGACACAGTTGCAGTTCCCACAGGTTGCTGAGAGGCCTGAAGCTGCATGGCCATCCCAGGGTCCCCAACCCATACCTGCACCTGGCATCACTGTCTGCAGGAGCGGGTTCAGGGGTAGGACGGCCCTCTCTGCGGTCGGCCATGTGTGGGGCCCCCCCCAGCCTGTGATCAGCATGACACATCACGGTATCACACCATCCACTTTGCTTCCGCCTCCTCTGACTTGGGTGTGTTGTTGGACCCTCACAGCACTCCCCTGATGTTCTCTCCCCGGTGTCTGAAGTTGTCTGGGAGGCCTCCTGCATCTGGGTGTCCGGCTCCTGGGTGAGGGTCACTGTGCTCCTGGTGTCCTCCTCCTCCTCCTCTTGTAGCTGCTGGTCCTCAGGGATGTCATCCTGGAGCTGCAGCCGCTGCTGCACAGGTGTCTCCATCCCAGACTCCACTACCTTCTCTGGAGACAGAGGTTCCCCTGACCCCAGGATCCAGTCCAGGTCCTCATAATATTCACAGTAGTGTTCTGCTTCCCCAGAGTGGGAGCTGTGCTCACGGACCCTAACATACCCTTGCCGGAGCTCCTTGACCTTTGGTCTAGTGTGCAGGGCTGGTAGTCTTT